GGGGGGGGGGGGGGTGTTTAATAAAACTGTAGAAAAAATTTCACTGTATTGAGTGAAACCAGGGCAATCTGACCAGGCGTGCTCTTCCCTCCTAACTCAGAAAACAAGAGTGTTTCTGACATCACGGAGACAACAAGGTGGTGAGGAGCCTCTTGACTTCTCCAGTGGTTCCTTTCCACACTAGACCTTCAATCCCGGCCCACCCTGTCCCCGAACTTACATTCTACGCGACACTCGAATTCACCCCTGTAATTATCTCGGGTTATTTTTCGTTTCCACATTACACTGAGGTCCAATGTTCCCTCTAAGCTGTGGAGTCTTATGAGCAAAAACTCTACTTTGTGAGCTACTGGCATTAAAGTTGTGAGTGAGCCATTTGGCTACTGCATAAGTTAGTTTGCTCAGGAGCCATCCTTCCTGAGTGGAGACAAAAATGTGTGAGCCGGAGGCTAAAAAACCGTGAGCTAGCTCACACTAACTCAGCTTAGAGGGAACATTGCTGAGGTCCCCCCGGTTTCGCCCCGCACTTGTCCCGAGATAAACGGAATGCTGCTGTAACCAGGGATAAATGCAAGGTATTGTGTCGCGAGTTGAACTCTGATAAAACCAGGGATGAGATCCGAGTGCGGAAAGGACCCAGAAGGAACATGTACATCATCACATTTATCTCTCTTTTGTAGAAGTCAAGAGGCTCAAACTTGGCAAACGAAAATTCTTTTCATTGTTCTGGAAACAGGACAGCTGTTTCCCCTGAGAGTCCTCTGCAGGGCCCAGCGAGAGATAATCCCCAGTTTCCCCAACACAGAATGCAACAATCATCCCTGTTATCATGATCATACTTGGATATTCCCAGAAAGTCCAGTTTCCTTTTCTGCTGGAGAGCAAATCAGGGAAGCCTGACGTGGGATCCCCATGGCAGAGTGACATCGCAGGAAAAGAAAATGAAGTCAGGACTTATGCACGGACCGGCCGAGGCACCCAATGACGCAACAGTTCCTCCAGTTTTTAGCTCTGCCTTCCAGCTCGGAGTCCGAAAGTGGGCTGCCTGCCAAAGACTCCCAACTAATATCCAAGTAAAAGGTAAAGGTGGAGCTGCGGTGGCTCAAGTGGTTAAGACGCTGAACTGCAGGCTGTGGAAGGTCGGTAGTTCAGCAGTTCGAGACCCGAGTGTGCCGCATGACGGAGTGAGCTCCCGTCTCTAGTTTCAGCTCCTGCCAACCTAGCAGTTCGAAAGCAAGAAATTGCAAGTAGATAAATAGATACCACTTCGGTGGGAAGGTAACAGCGTTCCCTGCGCCTTGGTGTTGAGTCATGCCGGCCACATGACCACGGAAACGTCTTCGGACAGCGCTGACTCTTCGGCTTTGAAACGGAGATGAGCACCGCAACCCTAAAGTCGGATTCGACTGGCTTTCGAGCAAGGGAGCCGGCATGACTAAACACCAAGGCGCACGGAACACTGTTACCTTCTTCCCACTGAAGCAGTACCTGTTTATCTACTTGCAATTTCTTGCTTTCGAACTGCTAGGTTGGCAGGAGCTGGGGCCAGAGACGGGAGCTCACTTCGTCATGCGGCACACTCAGGTCTTGAACTGCTGAACTACCGACCTTCCACAGCCTGCAGTTCAGCGTCTTAACCACTTGAGCCACCGCAGATCCAATATGCAAGTACACAGTATGAATTTAACGACAGAAACTAAATTATCGACAGTACAACACTATAGTAAGTACACATAAGTATAACACGAAGACAACTAAGGTTCCAGTTGCCAACAGACCCGATAGTGCATACAGACATAACAATCACGGTAAGCAGGGGAAAAAGAACAACAATGTGTTATACCGGGACCTTGAATCGCTGTTACCAGCTACTATTTATGTATCTCTCCACATTGTTGTTGTTTTTCCCCTGCTTACCGTGATTGTTATGTCTGTATGCACTATTGGGTCTGTTGGCAACTGGAACCTTGGTTGTCTTTGTGTGATACTTATGTGTATTTACTATAGTGTTGTGCTGTTCATAATAGAGTTTCTGTTGTTAAATTCATACTGTGTCCTTGCATATTAGTTGGGAGTCTTTGGAAGGCAGCCCACTTTCGGGGATTTATGTCATTGGTTGCAGCAGCTCTCTTACTCCGTTGTCCTTTGTTGTTTACGCACTCCGGCTCAGAGTGACATGTACAGCTGTTCCCCTGCCCTCATTCTGTCCTCACAACAATCCTGTGAGGTGGGTCAAGCGGGGAGACAGTGTGACTGGCCGAACGTCAGCCCGTGAGCTTCACGGCAAAGTGGCATTCTGCACCTGGTTCCAGGCTGACATTTTCACCACTAGCCCACTGTGGCTCTCTTGCTTCCCAAGGAAGACTTCACAGGTATGACAATAAAAGCCCTGCTGGATTCAACAATCGAGTCCAGTTTCCGGATCCCAAAAGTCAGCCAAAAGCAGGTCCTTAAGGCAATGCAATTCGTCCTTAGGGTATAGCCATCCACTCACAGACTCTGCATCTGCAACATACTGGGAGTCTGCAGTTGTGTGTGTGTGTGTGTGGGGGGGGAATAAGTGGAAACCACTGCCCCCTCTTCTGGAGCTTTAAGCGCCATCAAGACTTCAGAACCGCGCAGTTAGATACCAAGCCCTATGAGGAGAAGAGGAGGAGATTGGATTTATACCCCCGCCCTTCACTACCCAAAGGTGTCTCAGAGCGGCTGACAAACTCCTTTCCCTTCCCCTCCCCACAACAGACACCCTGTGAGGTAGGCGGGGCTGAGAGAGCTCTGAGAGAAACTGCTCTTTTTCAAGGACAGCTGTGCCAGAGCTTGTGACTGACCCAAGGTCACACCAGCAGCTGCAAGTGGAGGAGTGGGGAATCAAACCTGGTTCTCCCAGGTTAGAGTCCGCGCACTTAACCACTACACCAAACTGGCTCTATGAGGAAAGGCTGAGAGACTTGGGAATGTTCAGTTTGGAGAAGAGGAGGTTGGGGGGGGGGGCGGATTGCTCTCTTAAAGTCTTTGGCTGTCACTTAGAGGAGGGCAGGGAGCTGTTTCTGTTGGCAGCAAAGGAGAGATCTTGCAATAATGGGTTGGAATTAAGGGCCGGAAGGTATTGGCTGGATATTAGGACAAACTTTTTTCCAGTAAGAGTTGTGCCACAGTGGAATCAGCTGCCTGGGGAGGTGGTGAGCTCCCCCTCACTGGCAGTCTTTAAGCAGCGGCTGGACAAACACTTGTCAGGGATGCTCTAGGCTGATCCTGCACTGAGCAGGGGGGTTGGACTAGATGGCCTGTATGGCCCCTTCCAGCTCTATGATCCTATGATCCCACTATGCACCTCCAGCAACTGGTATTCAGAAGTATACTACCTTTCAACATGGAGGTGCCATTTAATAATAAGGGGTTGTTAACATAAGATAAGATGGAAGAAACTCCTGGCAGGGATGCTTAAGGAGTTAGGCTGGCTGCAACCACATTTTTCACTTACTTAAAGGACCACAAGAGCAATTAACTGGTTGGTTATTTACTTATTTTTTGTTGTCTCTAGCGTGACACTGGTCAAGGCCCATAGGCTAAGTGAGCAGGATCGCTAAAGTAAGGAGGATCCACTTAGCTATCATGGCTACTAGCTGTGCACGGAAGCTATCCTCCATAGAATTCTTATAAAGAAGACGAGGAGAAGAGATTGGGTGTATACCCCGCCCTTCACTCGGAGTCTCAGAGCGGCTTACAACCTCCTTTCCTTTCCCCTCCCAACAACATACACCGTGTGAGGTGGGTGGGGCTGAGAGAGCTCTGCGAGAAACTGCTCTTTTTCAAGGACAGCTCTGAAAGAACTTATGACTGACCCTAGGTCATACCAGCAGTTGCATGTGGAGTGGGGAATCAAACCTGGTTCTCCGAGATTAGAGTCCGCGCACCTAACCACTACACCAAACTGGCCATCCCAAGTTGAGAAATCGAGAGGTTCTTGATGGTCAATGACGTTTAACCTTGAAAGCCACCAAGGCACCAGTCGCTCCCTGCCCCCTGAATGTCCTACGGCTGCTCAGGCCCGTTTTGGACTTTCAGTTCTTCCAAATTCAGGAACGGCGGAGCACTGGAACACGGCACGGAAACCGAGGATGGGCTTCCCTGTCGCTGCTTGCATGGCGGCAGAACGTGAGCCATCAGGGCAGCTTACCCCGGATTCATCTCTAGCCAGGCGTCCAGTTGCCCTGCCTTTGGCGCGTCGGTGCCCGTGAGGATGTTCCCGCTCTCGACATGGATCACCTTCACGGGGAGGTCGCTCATCTGGCTGGTTTCGTCCAAAGGCTTAAAAAAAAGAAGAAACACAAATGGACGATAAGTATTCTTCTTTCCCTCCTCGGCAAACTGAGCCCTGCTTGGCAGGGGACAGGGGCGGGATAGAAGTCTAAAGAACATAAATAAACCAGTCAATTAAAGGACAGAACAGAATCCTGAAGCTCATACAGAGTCTGCATCGTTACTCTTCCTCTTGGACCTCGTCTAATTACAACAGGCACACAGAAAGCGCCTACCCGGCCACCAGTCTTCCCTCTAAGCTGAGTTCATGTGAGTTAGCGCACAGGTTTTTAGCCTCCAGCATTTTACTGAATGATGAGAATTATGTGGACTTGATATGAATACAAGCAGATTCTCTTGTTTTGATGGTCAACCAGGGCTTATTCATCTTAACTTCACAGCTTTATATGCTTTATTTATAGTTTCAATATATGTGTTGTGTTTAATATATGTGATGTACTTTAATATATATATGGCTTTTAAGCCACACCCCTGACAGCACAGCTCATTAGCCTATCAGGCCACACCCGCGTGCCTTCCCTTGGCTTGCCCGGGCACCCCATGGCTGCGGGGAGCCCAGGCAAGGCCCCCCCCCTCCGAAGGAAGGGAAGGCAGTTTAAACTGCCTTCCCTTGGCTTGCCCAGGCGCCCCAGACAGGCTGGGGAAGGCACAGACAGGCATTTAAATGCCTCCCCGATCCTTCCAGGGCCCCCCCTGGCCTGCCCGCCTCAGAGTCGCCGGGGGGGGGGTTCCGCTCTCCAGGCCTTCCCTCTGTAGCCACGCAGGTGCAGTGGTTCTGGCTGTAGTGGGCGTGGCTGACTCTGAAGCCAGCCGGAATTCCATTCCTGTGCGTTCCTGCCCAAAAATAGCCCCAAGGCCAGGTTCTTTTGCCAGCTGCACACATCTTTGTCTTAGCCCAGGAAGGAGGGCTCCAGAGCAAACTAATTTAGGCAGTAGCCAAATCTCTCACTCACAAATTTAATGCCGGTAGCTCACAAAGTAGAATTTCTGCTCACAAGACTCCACAGCTTAGAGGGAACACTGCCTGCGACATATTTTGTTAGTATTTAAGGTGCTACTGGACTTCTGCTCCTTTCTACTGCAACAGACACACACAGTTTGAGCACAGGGTCCTTCAGACAAACATTTATCAAAGAGAATGCCCATCTCCAAGCATCGACTGTGGAAGTGCAGCAAGTGGGGGCAATCCGATATGTGGTGAAAGAGAAGAAAAAGGGGGGATTGGATTTATACCCTGCCCTTCACTACCTGAAGGCGTCTCAGAGTGGCTTACAATCCCTTTCCCTTCCCCTCCCCACAACAGACACCTTGGTGGGGCTGAGAGGGCTCTTTCGAGGACTGCTCCTGAAAGAACAGCTCTGAAAGAACTTGTAACTGACCCAAGGTCACACCAGCAGCTGCATGAGGAGTGGGGAATCAAACCCGGCTCTCTCAGATTAGGGAGTCTGCGCTCTTAACCACTACACCAAGCTGGAGCAACCGCATATTGCTGCTAGTTGTTAGAAGCCAGCTGTGGATCATAAAGGATTAATTCTTGAAGAATTCTACGGTCATCCAGTTTAGCAAGTAACTGGCCAAAGGCCATCCAGTAAGCTTTATATCTAAGTGGAGATTTGAGTCCAGGAACCAGTAAACAGCTCACGTTAATATGTTGTTAGAAAAAGAACTGATAACAATCTGTTCTTGGGGCGAAACAGTCTCTCTGCAGAAGATGGACGTTCCTGACTAACAAACTTTTCTGTCCAGCACGGGACCACAAGTATTTGCTCTTACTTCACCGTCTGGTCCAATCGCCGGTGTCTGCCCTTCCGCAGCCTCAGCCTTCTGGAAAGAAAGATAATTAATACAGCATCTGTTCTTAGTGTGAACAACAATAGCAAAAGCCACGTTCTACTCCTCATTGGGTGACAAAAGAAGTGCCCTGGCCCCACTGCTGGACCTCCTGGTGGCCCCTGGTACTTTTGGCCACTGTGTGACACAGTGTGTTGGACTGGAGGGGCCATTGGCCTGATCCAACATGGGCTTCTCTGATGTTCTTATGTAAGTCATCCTGAAGGTATACGGAATCTAAATGTTATTAAGTAAGGCAAACTTAAGGAAAAGGTTCCGTCTTCTCACAGTGGAAGGCGGGTGCCACCCATCAAACATCAAGGGAGCGCGATCCAGACTATTCTAACTGGGAGACGCGCCTGTTAGTTTTCAAGGCATGCTTCCAGTCGGACAGGAGGGCCTGGCTGTGGGCACCATGTTGGGGACCCCTGCCCTGTGGGCCAGAGTAGAACACGGGGGGGGGGGGGGGGGGGGGAGAGCCCACTCCAGAAATGGCAAATGATATAAAAACAGAAGGAACACGATGCACGTGACAGGCTCCCTCATCCTCCCTCAACTTTCCTATTCTGTGGGATATCCTTCCCTAGAGAACACTGGCGGCGGCAAAGCACACCACAAACAATGGTCAGAACTAGAGATATGAAGGTCGGGGAGGGGGGGGGGCGCGGAATTGGAGAGCTCTCTTAAAAAAAAAAAGTCCCTGCAAAATATTTTCTCTTTCAGAATGAGTGAAATGCCTTTTAAGACAAAGCGTTACTCAGAATGTGCAGTAAGAAGCTTTTTTAAAAATGTAAGACAACAAGTGGGGGGCCCATGAAACTAGCAGGGGGGAATCGCCCCCCTCCCCCCCCCGGGGCCAGTCCAGCTCAACCCGTCTGGAAGCCCGCTGGTGACAGTGTCTAGGAGCCGCTCTGAGCCTGGAGCAGGTCTCGGCATCTGCTGCTGCAGCAGGGCCCAGAGTGGCTCCCGGTATCCACCATGGCGACAGGGCCCGGATGATTCCCTGGCGTCCATTGCCACAGCAGGGCCTGAAGCGGCTCCCAAACGGCTCACTGCAGCTCCCAGGCTCTAGGAAAGCGCATTCTCTGCACTTGTGCAGAGAACAATCCTTTACTTTTGGGGGGCTTTAATCATAGAAATGGGAGGGAGCTCCAGGGTCATCTACTCCAACCCCCTGAACAATGCAGGAAATTCACAAATACCCCCCCCCATACACTCACAATGACTACTGTTCCCCTCCCCGTGTATTTTTCTAAGTATTTCAGAGTTTTATGCACACCTGAGGAGTCCCGAGTGGGCAGAAAAATATCTTTAGCCTCTGCATGGCCCCAATCTGTGGATTTAGCTATCCACAGTTCGCGGCCACACGTGGCTGACAGTATATAATCTACTGTATCTGCTGTTCTGTAGACATATACAACTTATTTTCAAAGATGTGTTCATTGTTTTTATGTGACTAATGAGTTATGAAGTATATGATAATAGTAAACTACTGAAGAATTACTGTATGCTTTCTTTTGTTGAGTACAAAAATCATTTTCTACTTTCAACTTTTGTTTTTTCCTCCCTCTCAGATGGCAAAAGCAAATATGTCCTAGGATACCACAGGGTCGAGGATTTATCAGTAAGTCTTTGCTACAATTTTGCTACCTGCACCCACTGTTTTAAACTCAGCTCTGCTATGTCTCTTGCCTTGGAAACCCCGTGTGGGGTGGGCACCGTAAGTCAGAACTCCTTTCTCCAATATGTAGAACATTGTTTTTTGTCTCCTAGAAGAATAGTGCCCCCCACACCCAAAGAAAAGGAAGGAAATGAAAAAGAAGATTTTGCTTTCGATTAAGAAGACGGGGACGGCAAAGGATGAGATGGTTAGACAGTGTCATAGATGCAACGAACATGAAATTGAGCAAACTTCAGAGGACGGCAGAAGACCGGAAGGCCTGGCGTGATCTGGTCCATGGGGTCGCGAAGAGTCGGACTCGACTGTGCGACTGAACAACAACAAAACCCTACACGTGACCCGCAAGACGACTGGGAATGCTTCAGAAAATAAACAGAATCCACTTCGTTTCGCACACTCTGAGGTCCTCCTTTTCGCTTGCTGAAGACGGGTGCTGCCCTCCTGAACCTTCAATCCACACCTAGTCCTGTGGAATATCTGCACATCCACCAGTTTTTAATCTCTCTGATCTAACTCAACTAACCTGACGTTGATAAGTCAAGATTTTGTTGAACGTAAGTTGCCAACGTACTTGCTATTTCTGCGTACCTTTGTTGTTACAGTGATATCTATCTACCGAAGAACATCTCACAAGTCTCAGCTGGAAGTCTAGAATGTCACACAAACGTCTATGAACTGATGCTGGACTGGGGCTCCCGCCTCCTGCTGTGCCGCACCTAGAGGTCTTCCTAGCCACCAGCCTCACACCAGTGCTCAGATGGGTGCGCTAAGATCTGGTGAAAAGGCATTGGAGTTTTTGCAGCAGCATAATCGTCTAGCAGGCGAAGAAGGTAAAGAGAAAGTTGACAGAGCCGAGGGGAGTGAAGACGAGGGAGAGCTGCCATCATCTGACGAGGACTCAGATTCAAAACTTGGGGCGGCAGCCCCAAAAACAAGTCATCAGTTGAGAAAGAAAAAGGACAGATAAAGAGTTGTCATTGTTTCTAGGAGCTCTTACAAGGGTTTTAACCATTTCTTACGTTGCTTTTTATGAAGTCACATGCGTAGGTGTTATTTTTTGTTGTAAGTTTAAATAGAACGTTTGATGACCGCATCCAATGAACTTTGCATTTTCTATAAACTACAACGAAATAAGGGGAGGGAATCTACATACTATGGGAGACAGTAAAGTTAAAAAAAAACAACCCTAAAAACCCAAGGTGGTCATACAAAACGCTTACAAAATTAGCTTTTAGCCTACAATTTCAGTTAAAGTTCATTGGATGTGGTCATCCAAGAAAGTCTGAGTCCAGTGGCACCTTTAAGACCAACAAAGTTTAACTCTGGGTCTGAAGGTGCCACTGGGCTCAGACTTCATCCTGTCGCTTCAGAGCAATACGGCTACGTAACCAGCCCTGGAACGGCAACAGAAGCCACTGCAGCAGGCAGGTGTGAAGCACTCCTCAAGGGATGCCTCACCCATCCACTAACGAGTCCTCCCAAAATTGCCTTTTCTACATAAATGCTCACACCCCCTCGGGGAGACGGAGCCGACATGGGGCCACTGCTGAGGATTCCCTGTCTGGGGAATGGAAGGCCGAAACTCCAGTTCTGACCGACCGCCGTCTCTCCTGCCGTGCCCGGCTTGGGAGAGCTGAGAATTCAAATCGCAACATGCTGAAGTTTCCTGCAGAACAGGAATATCACCCTGCTGCTTCACACAGGTTAAAGACGGTGGGGTGGATCCTGCACTCTCATCCTGCCACTCCAAGGCAAAACCTGTTTATCCATTCGGGTATTTACACCCCGCCTTTCCTCTTGGCTCAAGTTTGAAGCCTTTCTCAAATCTAAGGAGACGTCTTCCAACTTGACGGGCTCTTCTGTTGGGAGGAAGACTGACTTAAGTGGGAGGAAGGCTCCTCGGGCCACCTGGGGGATGACTGGATCCACTCAAGCGTTTTTAAAATCCAGGCTGTTAATTGTAAAGGCCCTGACCCCGGATGGCCCAGGCTAGCTTGATTTCGTCAGACCTCAGAAGCTAAGCAGGGCCAGCCTTGGCTGGTACTTGGATGGAGGAGCCCCCAGGAAGCCCAGAGTCGCTACACAGAGGCCGGCCATGGCAAGCCCACCTCCGCTGTTCGCCCCTCGCCTTGAAAACCCTCCGGGGTCACCCTAAGTCGGCTGTGACTTGAGAGGACACAATTATCACGCCCTGAGCTGGACGGCCCAGGTGGGCCTGATCTCGTCAGATCTCGGGAGCCAAGCAGGGCCAGCCCTGGTGAGTCACAGGATGGGAGACCACCCGGGGAGTCCTTGGGTTGCTACCCAGAGGTAAGCAATGGGTAACCCACCTCTGGGTGCCTCTGCTCCGGCCTGGGTAGCCCAGGCTGGCCCAGTCACATCAGATCTTGGAAGCTAAGCGGGGTCGGTCCTGGCTAGTCTCTGGATGGGAGACCGCCCAGGGGTGCTACGCGGAGGCAGGCCGTGGCAAGCCCACCTCCGCTCAGCTCTTGCCTTGAAAAGCTAATGGGGCTGACAGGAGTCAGCCACTACCATGACGACACTTTCCGCCACCAATTTTAAAGAGAGGTGTGTGTGTGTGAAATGTTTGTGTGACAAGCTATGCAAAGCTAAAACGGAAGTTGTCCAATTTGCTGTATTAAAATGCTGGCCACTGGACGTGTCGCTCTTATTCTCAGAAAACTCTGGTCGCACATAGACACCGTCAGGCCTGCTCAGAAGCCCCCAATCAAAGTGGCAGCCAAAAAGGGGAAGGGGGATTGCGACGTTGCCTGACCGTGGCGGTTACCTTCTTTTTCTTCTTCTTCTTCTTCTCCTTGGCAACCTGAGCCGCCTTGTGCTGCCTCACCAGCTCTGTGAGGTTGGCAACGTATTCGTCGGTCTGCTGAAGCAAGTAGGCCAAGCGCTTGTCTTTCTTTTGGTCGATCAGCTTCCGATACCCTTCTTCATCCTCGGCCTTTAAAAACACACACGTGATTTTACTTTTTTTTTTTTTTTAAATCGCCCCAAGAACAACAGTGATTTAACAATACAGCTCTACCAAACTAGCGCTCGCAAGTCTCGGCCAGGAAAACGTTTTACGGCCGGATCGCGGCCTTACCATCAACCTGCGCATCCGCTCCTTCTCGATTCTTTCATTCTCCTTCTTCTGCTCACGCTCCGTGTTGGCGTGATACGTGGCCACCGCCTTGGTAAGTTTCTGGATCTTGCCCGTAACAGACCGGTGGTATTCTTTGAAATCCTTGGCATGCTGGAGAATGCTATTGAGGTACTCCTGAAAAAGGGGGGGGGGGGGGGGGGGGAAATGGGTTACTGGACAAGAGGTCTGCTCGTTTTCTACTGCAAAAACTCTTTAAGATCAGATGGAATCTAAGACACGCACACACAGCAGTCACAAAACCTGTTCATTCTTCATTCATTGCTGTTTGCTCCAAGAGTGTACTTAAAGCTTTTATTTGTGAAATGACCTACACCGTTCAGCAACCAGTAGCTTTACACCTGTACTAAAAAAAACACAAGAGGCCTAGTCTACGTTTTTAGAAATACAGAGGAACACGTTTCCTTCTTATGATGATTCAGAGGTGAGCAGTCGTGGGTGGATTCTGCTGGGAAGACACGAATGACTCAACTGTGCCTCCAGGCATCCGAATGCTGATCAACATCGGACCAAATGCTGATGTTGTTTCTACGCAGCAACACACCCTTCTTATGCTGACACCACCATAACCCTACAGATCAGGGTAGAATCAGCTTCAGAATGTGGGGCGGAGGCACGCCTTATAGCCCCTCACTGCAAGTAGCCCTGTTGCTTCCAAACAAAATCCAAAACCAAAAGGCTTTTCTTAAAGACCAACCAAAATGACACCCGGCAGGGCGCCAAGCTTTCAGGTCCTCCAGAGCTTTGCACCAGGCTGGATGTTCAGCAACAAGGGGCCAGGGGAGGATGTTTCCGGCCTTGCATTTAAAGGCCTTTGGGAAGCATCTCGGGAAGAATGCTGAGCAGGTCTACGAGGTTAAAAAGATGCTGGGTGGAACGACGACAGGAGGCACCTGTGGTGCTCTGGAAAGAAGCGGCTGACTGAGAATATACAAACCAGGCAGAGGCCTTTTCAGCTGTTCTCCCGACACTCTGCTGTGGTTGTGCTGACCTGGCGGAATGGATTTACAGAAACAACCGGGGAGCAGTGTTCCCTCTAAGCCGAGTTAGTGTGAGCTAGCTCACAGCTTTTTAGCCTCCAGCTCACACATTTTTGTCTTAGCTCAGGAAAGATAGCTCTGGAGCAAACTAATTTATGCAGTAGTCAAATCACTCACTCACAACTTTAATGCCAGTAGCTCACAAAGTAGAATTTTTGCTCACAAGACTCCACAGCTTAGAGGGAACATTGCCGGGGAGACGTTTATATAATGCAAAAGTATTCTATTGAAATTTAGACAATTATCCACAAAGTGAAATACAACATTTAAAGCGCTACGTACATATGTTCATAGAAAAAAATATAGTAGGTTATTCATAAGAATTAAGAGGATCACAATATATATTTATTAACGAAGCTTCCGGCTTGTGTCTTCGTTTCGATTCTAAGCTTCCTCAGAAGTAAATTCTCTTATTCATCATTTTGCATTTAGTGAGTGTCGTCTCTTTTGTTTTCCAATAATTTTCTCTCTGCTTTTCAAAGCTTATATTCCAAATAGGAAACAACAACCTTCATACTAGGCTCCAGTCCAGTCTGCTGCATGCTACTGAGCGGTAGACAAGCCGGAAGCTTCGTTAATAAATATATATTCTGATTCTCTTAATTCTTATGTATAACCTACTAGATGATCTTCTATGAACATACGTATGTAGCGCTTTAAATGCTGTATTTCACTTTGTGGATAATTGTCTACATTTCAATAGAATACTCTTGTATTATATAAGCGTCTCCCCGGTTGTTTATGTAAATCCTATCCATTTCAACTGGGAGGTCTCTTTATATCGACCTGGCAGAATGGCCTGCTGAGCAGACTCAAAAAGCACCCTCCTTGCTGGCTTTTTAAAAAATCTTGGAAGACGGCTTCTTCGGAAGGGCTTTTACCTGACTACAGGAGACAGGTTAGTCTCTCTGATGATGACATTTGTTCTCGAGCACAAGAGGTGCAATCTGGTGTTTGACTGCATGTCTCGGCATGTTCTATTTTATTTTACTTATTTGCAGACTTATATCCCACCCCTCCCCTGGGTCTCAGGACGTGGGGTGGCTCACAGCATCCAATAAATGATCTATAAAATGTGACAGAACAAACTCCAAAAACATTAAGTTACAATCTGTAAAATACCACCCTAGCTCAGGCATCAGAATAAAACATAACCATCGAGCACCCAATAACCAACAGGCGGCACTGCTAATAGGGGCAGGAAAACAGTCCTTGACTGTAAGCCTGGCAGAACACCTCCATCTATGGAAACTGCCTTCTGGGGACAGAGGGGGGAGGAGGAGGAGATTAGATTTATACCCCATGGCCCTTCACTACCCGAAGGTGTCTCAGAGCGGCTTACAAATCTCTTTTCCCTTCCCCCTCCCCACAACAGACACCCTGTGAGGCGGGTGGGGCTGAGAGAGCTCTGACAGAAACTGCTCTTTTTCAAGGACAGCTCTATGGCTTGCCCCAGGTCATCCAGCCAGGTGCAAGTGAAGGAGGGAGAAATCAAACCCGGTTCTCCCAGAGTAGAGTCTGTGCACTTAACCACAACACCAAACTGGCTCTCGTGGGCAGGTCAGAATGTCCCTGTGTGAGATGGGAAGCTGGACTAGAGGGACCCTCCCTGGCCTGACCCAGCAGGGCTCTTCTGATGCTCTTATCAGGGGAAGGCCTTGGCCTCTCTGCCATTGTTGGCTCTCCAGAGGAACTGGTTGGCCCCTGTGTGAGACGGGATGCTGGACTAGAGGGACCCTCACTGGTCTGATCCAGCAGGGCTCTTCTGGTGTCCTTATCAGGGGAAGGCCTCGGCCTCTCTGCCCTGTTGTTGGCCCTCCAGAAAAACTGGCTGGCCCCTGCATGAGACGGGAGGCTGGACTAGATGGACCACCAGCCTGATCCAGCAGGGCTCTTCTTATGTTCTCTGCGTAAGGAGCTGAGTGGATTGCTATACAACATCAAGTCTCATCTGTCTCCTGTTGTGCACCAATGGATCAGTGACCTACAATGGGAGGGATACTCAGAGACCCTCACTTTCATATAAGCAGAGCTGGTTAAGGTTTTTGGCCTTCACTGAATGAATTGGGGTATGAGGGGAGCAGCATTCCCTCTAAGCTGAGTTAGTGTGAGCTGGCTCACAGTTTCTTAGCCTCCGGCTCACAGATTTTTGTCTCAGCTCAGGAAGGAGGGCTCCAGAGCAAACTAATTTACGCAGCAGCCAAATCGCTCGCTCACAACTTTAAGGCCAGCAGCTCAAAAAGTAGAATTCTTGCTCATAAGACTCCACAGTTTAGAGGGAGCACTGGTGGGGAGTGGGGAGGTATCACTTTGGTCTGCTCTAACAAAACACTCTTAAAAGTAAAGTACGGATCTGATGAATACAACAGGTCTTCTCCTCCATCTCATACGTTCACCATCTCCAATGTACCACGCTGAAAAACAAAAACAAAACAAAGTAAGACTTACTTGGTGCTTCTGCCGGCGTTTCCGTTCTTGTTCGATCTTCTGCTGTTTCTCCAGCTTCTCGGTGATGCGAGCCTCCCGCAGAGACTGCCGCTTGCTGCGTTTGTAAGCCTTGGCGTTCAGTGCCGTCTCCAGAGCCGTGTCCCTTCGCATGCACACCACCACCTCTTGACGCAGCTTTGGAACAGAAACCAAACAAGGGGATTATGAGGAAGGGAACTGAAAACAAATCGGTCAGTAGCATGATACCCCTGTATAGATCAATGCTGCGACCTCATTTGGCGTACCGTGTACCGTTCTGGTCACCACACCTCAGAGAGGATATTATAGCTTTGGAAAAAGTGCAGAAAAGGGCAACTGGAATGATACAAGCGTTGGAACACTTTCCCTATGAAAAAAGGCTAAAGCGCTTGGGTCTCCTTAGCTTGGAGGAACGATGGCTGAGGGGTGACATGATCGAGGTTTATACCTCTGAGGATGCCAGTCACAGTTGCTGGCGAAACGTCAGGCCCTACAATGCCAAGACCACGGCCAGACAGCCCGGAAAATCTGCAACTAATGAACTCTGACCGTGAAAGCCTTTGACAACAGATTCGACAACAGATTCAAGATTACAAGCAAGAAATAAAAGATGAAGTGAGGAATCAGGGGGGAACGTTCTAGAATGGCAAGAGGAAAGAGGAGCTGGATTATAAAGCGGAGGAGAGCCCAGGGAATTTAGGGGAGGGGCTGAGGAAAATCAAGCAGATATTAGAAGACGTCTCATTAAAGACAGGAAGATCTGCAGCAGCAAGACAGCATTTGAAGAGCTAGTAAAATAAATCGCAAAGGCCTTGATTAAGACTGATTGGCTCGGGAAGAGAGACGAACAAGGAACAGGAAAGAACTGAAGAAGATAAAATACCATTTTCTTCATCAGCGCAGTAGAAAAGAACAAGAGTCAATTAGCACCTTAAAGACTAGCAACGTTTGTGGCAGGGTGTGAGCATCCATGAGCCACTGCTCACTTCCTTCAGATACCCGAAAGAAGTGAGCCAGTAACTCACAAAAGCTCATCCCCCTGCCACAAATTTTGTTAGTCTTTAAGGTGCTAATTGACTCTTGCCAGGGGTCATTTTGTAGAAAAAGAGGTGCAGGAGCTCATTAGCATAACTCATCTGCATATGCCACGCCCCCTGACATCACCGGAAGTGTGTCAGAAGGCAACACCCACCGCTCAGGCTCCACTGGACTGTTTTGGATTGCTAGCTATTGGGGGGGGGGACACACACACACACACACAGATCTGCCCTCACAGAGGAGGGAGAGCTTGTACCTGAATAAACCTTGGCCTTAAAGGTGCTACTGGACTGTTTTGGATTGCTATGGGGGGGGGGCTCTGCATCTTCCCTGGCTGCTTCTTGCTCCTTGTGACCTAGGGCTGCTGGGAGCAGGGGGCGAGGCTTGTTGCATGTGCCCGCCCCCTGGGCTCTTTACTGCCAGAGCTCCGCTCCTGTGCGCTCCTGCAGGAAATGACCCCTGACTCTTGCTCTTTTCTACTGTGCTGATGAAGTAAATTGTGACAGGGCAGGAGCTTTTCTGAGTCACTGCTCACTTCTTCAGACAGATCAAGATGGGTAGGCATGTTTGTCTGTCTGCAGCAGCAGAAAAGTGTAAGCGTCCAGGAGCACCTTAAAGACTAACAACACTGGTGGCAGGGGAGGAGCTTCTGTGAGTCACGGTTCACTTCTGTTAGTCTTGAAGGTGCTCCTGGACTCTTCCTCTTTTCTACCGCTACAGACAGGCTAACATGGCTCCCCATGTTTAACAGCACAGTCTTCAGATGGGAGAAGACAATGGAGGCTCAGCAGGGCGGGCAGGTTGAGAGGAGAATGAAACCCAGCCAAGTTTCCATGAGTGGAAGAGCTTGCGCACTCTTTGGGTGAAGAAGGGCTTCCTTTTAGCCGTTCTAACCTGACTGCTCAGCAATTTCATGGAGTGCCCACAAGGAGTTCTTGTCTTGTGGGAAAGGGAGAAAAGGACTGCTTTCTCGACCTGCTCTATCCCACGCATCATCTTGTAAACCTCGATCATGTCACCCCCTCAGCCGTCGTTTCTCCGAGCGAGAGTCCCCACCACTTTAGCGTTTCTTCATAGGGAACACGAATCAGCACCTCCTGATTCCAAGCAATGCAATGCACATTGGTGAGCCTAGCACACCATGGAACCCAAAACCAAGTGACCGTGCCCAGATTTGAAGAGAAAATCCCCAGCAGGTAAGCTAATTACGGTATAACTGGAAGATCTGGAAGTGAACTGCATGCCTAACGCCTGATGTTATTTAAATGGAAGTTGGTCAAACATTAGTTCTCTTAACCCTTAACAGAACCCCGCCAAAACAGACTGAATGACAATTCCCAAAACAGTCTTGGATACTGTGAGCCAGGGAGAGTTTGAGCTGTGGCACAACCAGTGTTCTCTCTAAGCGGAATCAGTGTGAGCTAGCTCACAGTTTTTTAGGCTCTGGCTCACACCTTGTTGCCTTAGCTCAGGAAGGATGGGGCTCCATAGCAAACTAACTGATGCAGCAGCCCAATCGCTCGCTCACAACTTTAATGCCAGTAGCTCGCAAAGTAGGATTTTTGCTCACAAGGCTCCACAGCTTAGAGGGAGCATTGGGCACAACCTACCTGCCTCTGGAAGTTCAGCAGTCGTAGCGCTTTCAGTTCGATGGTCGCTTTGGTCCGCAGATCACCAGCCAGGGACCCAGGAAGGTTTTCAAGTTCTTGGATTCTGTGTGCGATGCGAGCCTGCAGTCTGCGCGCAACAGATTGGGATCAACAGAAATCACTCTTAAGTGTCTCGGCCTTGTTAACTCATCTAGACAAAGAGACACACCAGCAGCCCACCGAAGTGTTAGCAAACTAATTGAAAGTTAACAGGGGCTTCGGATAACCAAGCCCACCCCCTCTACGCAAGACCACTTTTCACAGTATTTATTTACTTTATTCATATCCTTCCTTTCTCCTCAATGGGGACCCAAAGGGGCTCATGCTGCTCTCCTCTGTTTTAGCCTCGTGACAACCCTGTGAGGTAGGTGAGGCAGAGAGGGCGTGACTGGCCCTAGGTCACCCAGAAAGCTTCCATGGCAGAGTGAGGAATCGAACCCATCTTGAACATGGCATCTGAAGAGGGGAGCCAGGGGGGAGGCAGGCGGTTGGCCAGCGGCTATTCCTCCCAGGACGCCCAAGGCATTAATCTGTCCCCATGGTGACCAGGCGCTGGGCAGCGGGAGACACTGAGGCAAGGCCTCTGTACGTGGAAAGGGAAGCTGGGGATCCTGATCCTCCCAGTGGGAAATCCCAACAACAATCAGGTGGTGGCGGCAGGCTACTTGAGAGCAGTGTTCCCTCTAAGCTGAGTTAGTGTGAGCTAGCTCACAGCTTTTTAACCTCCGGCTCACACATTTTTGACTTAGCTCTGGAAGGAGGGCTCCAAAGCGAACTAATTTATGCAGTGGCCAAATCCCTCGCTCAAAACTTTAATGCCAGGAGCTCACAAAGTAGAATTCTTGCTCACAAGACCCCGCAGCTTAGAGGGAGCATTGCCCGAGAGCGGGAGAAAAGCCCCTCCAGGAAGTTGGGAACCCCGAGGAGGGCAGGGCGGAAACGGGGCCTGCAGGCCAGAGTGGGCACTTTCTGCCACAAACCATGTGCAACCCTTCTCTCCCCAGTTGGGACTCAAAGCAGCTTAGAACAGCGTCCCCCCCCCTCCATTTTATCCTCACGACAACCCTATGAGGTAGGTTAGGCTGAGAGTGTGCGTGATTGGCCCAAGGTCACCCAGCGAGCTTTGGAGGCAGAAGCGGGGATTCCCCCAGGGCCTTAAGTCCGCCCCTCTATCCATCACACCACACCGGCTCTCGGAACCAGCGGATTACCTGTATTCTCTCTCCTGGAGGATTTCGACCGGGTCCAGTCCTCTCGGTTTCTGGATTGGAGTGATACGGTTTTGCTTCTGGTGGAGCTGCACCATCGGGGCGGGCTGGGCGGGTTGCCCCGGGGACTGGGTCTGGGGAGGCATGACGGGGGACGCTGCGGGGGGTACCGCCGGAGGTGCTGGTGAAGGACGGCCTGTCGGCTGAGGAGGAATCAGTTTCTGAGGTGTGCTAGTGGGAGCTGCAGCATTTGCCATTGGTCCTGTTCGAGAACAGCATTCGGGGGAAATGTTGTTAAAAGACTTTCAGCTGCCCTGATAGTAACAGCATGTGATGGGTCACAATGACGAACAGACAATGGTTTCTTGCCATTAAGCACTTGGGGGGGGGACGGACGACACTTTTATCATATTTTTATAGATCAAGGTGGGCAGCCATGTTGGTCTGAACCAAAAGACTGTGGCGGCCCCTTACTGGTGGAATGAGCTCCCGGGTGACCTCAGGGCCCTGCAGGACCTTTTGCAGTTCTGCAGGGCCTGCAAGACGGAGCTCTTCCGCCAGTCTTTCGATTATCTTACCATCATTATTATACCATCATTAGCCTCTGGCCCTAGGAAGAGAGAACAACAGCGCCACATAGAACTGCAGCACTGATTGGGTGTACCATCTTTGAGACGTCATCTTTATAGAAGATCTTGTTTGAACATCTAGAGCACTTAATAGGTTGTAATTATATGTAATATAGTAGTGATGTGTTTATATGTTTTTAATCTGTTTTATGTATTGGCTTTGCCTGTCTGTGAGCCGCCCTGAGCCCGCATTGCGGAGAGGGAGGGCTATAAATTGAAACTATAAATAAATATATAAATAAATAAATAGGGGGCCGCCTTTTAATATTGTGGCCCTGGCCCTAACACCAACACCATTGCCAACCTGATGACCAACAGCCTAGATTAGGGGTAGCAGACCACTCAAATGTTAAGAACATGCTGCCATCTTGCACTAGATGTTTATGTTCTGAGTAGTCATGGTTATACATATTGTGATTTTAACTTATTTTGTTCTTAGTATATTGTGGAGTTTTAATGTATAATAATGTGTATGTATCGTAAGCCACCCTGAGCCTGCCTCAGCGGGGAGGGTGGGATAAAAATGTAATAAAATAAATAAATAAATAAATAAACAGAAGAAAGTTGGAGTCCAGCGGTACCTTTAAGGCCAATGAAGTTTTATTCAAGGTGTGAGTTTTTGTGTCTGCCAGTCTGAGTAGACCGTGATGACCTTGATAAACCAATGGTCTAATTCAGTACAAGCCAGCTTCATATGCCCATGTCAGTAAGTGTTGTCACCAAGGAAAAAAATTCAAATACGGACACTTTCGTTCTCAAGCAGTACTGGGATTGATTCAGCATATCCATGTTTAAGGCAGTTACAGTGCGATCCTATGCAGACCGACTCCAGTCCAAGTCTTTTAAGTAACACTGCATAGGATTGCACAGTCACAGATAAAACTGCACATCTGAACAGTGTCTTTATTTCCTTCCCTTTCCCACTGATTTATCAGGTTTCTGTAGCAAAAATAGAGACAGGTTGGTAAACATGGAGATAAAATGTGTGTGCCAAGCGCAGAAGAGCCCATGAAATTTCATGTTACTTGTCTGATTCTAAATCAGAGCAAGACTTCTTAATTATCTGGAAAGAACTCAGAAATGTGGCACTGAGACAGATTTTTCAACTGGAGAGGAGGAGAGCTGCAGCACGTATTCAAGCTAGTGGCATCAGAAGACGGCTTTGCATAAAGAGGGTGACTCATCAAGCACAATTTTTTTTTTAGCCGCGCAATTAAAGTCACATGAATTTGGGCAAAATGTGTAGGCAATTAAAACACGATTTCTCCTTCAGAGAATGCGTAGACATTATATTTTTATATAACGTATTTTTATATCTGCGTACTATTAGCCACCTGTGTCTCCCACCTGTGGATCGCTAAATCTGCAGATCAGGAGGCTGAATAGATGATTCTGCAAACTCAAGAGACCCCCCCTAGGGAAAATGGTGCTGGGGGGAAGGGAAGAATTCCCTCCCTCCCACTCTTTGTGGCTCCTCGGGTGCTGGGCGAGGGGGGGGGGGGGGGGGGAGACTGCTGGCGAGCCACAGAGAGTGGAAGTGTGTGGGGGGGTCCTCTGCTGGCTTGCTTGGAGCTGCTCCTGGCAAGCTGCAGAAAGCTGCCAGGCAGCCCTGATCCACGCTGGGTTTGGCAATATGGGGGGGGGGAGATGGGATCTCCCCCCCCCTGCAAGTTTCACAGACCCCCACCAGTGCTCCCTCTAAGCGGTGAAGTCTTGTGAGCAAAAAGTCTACTTTCTGAGTTACGGGCATTAAAGTTGTGAGCCAGTGATTTGGCTATTGCATACATTACTTTGTTCTGGAGCCATCCTTCCTGAGCTAAGACAAAAATGTGTGATCTGGAGACTAAAAAACGGTGAGCTAGCTCACACTAACTCATCTTAGAGGGAACACTGACCCCCCTCCTGTATCTGTATATTTTGACACTGAAATCATACAGTGAACTGACCCATGGTGGGGCATGCACAAAAGACATTCCCAAGTGACAATAGCCCTGAGTTCCAATCACCTATGCCTGAATTCTGCACAAGTTACATGACCTGACCATAAAGCTGAGGATCTCTGCATTCCTTCTGAACTCCTGGATCTTCAGACACCAAAAATGCCTCAATACATGCAGGAAACAGGAACTTAAAAGGAAATCCAAGTTGGATTTTCAAATCTTATGATTTCTACACGTGTATCGTGGTACTACTGTAGAGCCTGGCTCCTGGCGATTTATCGACAGCCTGTGCGCACTGAGTACGATCAATGCCGGAAATGAACGCCATGTGGCATGCACTCCACGCAGCAACGGCCATTGTTATGATACTGGAATAACATCGCTAGCACTTCAGTATTTAATACTGTATTGTTTTAATGAATTGTTTAATGGCTTTGGCTATTTGATTGTTTTAATCTGTATTTTATTTTGTCTAAGCCGCCCTGAACCTGCACTGGTGGGGTAGGGCGGGATATAAATTAGGAATATAAATATAAATAAATAAACCAGCATAAATATAACTATAGCAGTTTCCCCTCCCCCCCCCATGACTCCCCAAAATCCTGGGATTTGAAGTGCAGACAAGGCTGCTAAAAAACACTCTGTTACAGATTGATATCTTTACAGATCTTTAGCTTCCCAAACCCCAAAGATACCTAGGAAAAAAGAATCTGCAATGTAGATATGCATGAGAAAGGCCAAGAGAGAAGGACTTTACATTAAAAAATTAAAACTGGATCTGGTGTTGCAGACAAGAGCTAAAATATATTGAAGACTACTGACTTAAAGGCTATTATTTCTGATGTTTGTAGGTAACATTAAAGAGTAATCCATCAGACAGAGACAATTTTCCACTAACAAGAAGAAATGGCCTATTACACTTGGATAAACCAGGGGTTGTTTTTTTTGACAAAACAAACATGTGTTGAAATATCTGCATTTCAAATTGCAGTCCCCCGACAGCCACAATTTGATAATTTACTTTCATTATCATCCAGACATCTTTAAGTGCCACTTTAACACCCTGCCACAAAATAGCCAAACTGGATTCACTGAAGCAATAAGACCTGGCAACAAATCCATGCAGTCTATAGAACAGCAGCTGCAGCAAAACCAGCGAGCCATCGACAAAATTTGTTGGGATTTTTAAGATGCCAGAGAACTTTATTGCTCCTGTATTTCACCTTTAAATCTGTTAATCAGATACATGACTGAGCTTCAACGCATTCCCCCCCCCCCCCCCCCAACGGGGCTTTACCGCAAGACA